AAGAAGATGGAAAACCTAGGCCCCACATATATGATTGATGGGCTCAGTGGATGGTGCTTAGTCACATCTGAATCAATGGAAAGAAGGATGTTGGCTACATAGGCCCACATTCAAAGGAGCAAATATATGGTATAACAAAAAAAGGCTAAGGCCCACATCCCATGGAGGTGATAAACCTGTGGGTCAATATCACTTCAGAAGACAGGTGGAGGACTTGTGAATCTGAATGCACCTTTCCACAATACCATATCACTCTGGCATCTTGGCTTTCTCCATAGAAGAAATTGTTTGCATAGGAAAACATTAGATCATCCGAGCCAGTGGTGCTACTACAACCCAACTAGCAAGCAGAGCTTCAAGGCCCTGGACCACCCAAGGTTCCTTCATGACCCCCCCCCCCCCACTCCCTATGCATTGGCAGCATGTGGCTCCAACCTTGATTTTCAAAATTACTGATCCTGGGAATGAAAGCAGCAGACAGCGATGTCAATCAGATGCTAGCTATGAGATTGCAGGGTCAATGAGACTACTGAGGGTGCTTGGCCCAACCCCATGCTATTGCAGTACTCTCACTGATCCTGCAACCATGAAGGTGGTGTCTGATTGGTAGAGCTCACTGCCATTCTCACTATGGCACCAGCAACTTTTAAGAGTAATGTGTAAGGCAGCCGGAGCCTTGGAGAAGCCAACTGATGCAGCATTCCACAGCACATGCTGGCCAGCAGCCTTACCCTCAACTACCTTGCCTGTGAACTAGTTCTCAGTGGCATCTGCAGCAAGCAAAGTTATCTCCTGGAAGGATTGATTACCATAAGGAGAAGGCATGGGATGTCAGCTTTTGTATCTTCCACTGGTGAAACATGTGCATTCAGAAACTTACATCATTATTCACTCAAAAACATTTGTTTAAAGGGTGGGGGAGAAGAGAAAAATGTGAGCCTCTTAGCAACTGACTATCTCTGTAGGCTTTGAGAATCATGGCTTAGACAAGAACCTGCAGTATGCCAGATGTTGTTGGACTACAACTCCCATCATCCACAACCACTGGCTATGCCAGTCGAATCCAGTTGAAGTTGGAGTCCCAACAACATCTGGAAGACCACAGATTCCTCACTCCTGGTTTAGACAAACCTGTTGCCCTCCAGCCATAGCCAGCATGGCCAATGATCAGGGATGATGGGATTTGTAGTCCAACAAAATCTAGAGGGCACCAGGCTACAGAAGCCTGGTTCAGACCCCTACTTATATTTTGCCAGTCTGAAGGCTATAAAGTACACATATAAGATTACTAGCTCCAACAAACCTTCAAAATAGATCAGACTGATAACTTTGATTCCAGGCAGGGTTGCACTGGTCCGTCATTTACACTTGATCCAGAAGTTGAGAAGAGAGTTATCCTACAACAGTGAAAAAATGTGCCCTTAATGTTTATTGCAGAAGAGCTTCATTTCAAGCTTCCCCTTTAACCATCACCCCTACTCCCACATTAGTGAAAGAAGTTGAATATCCTGCTAGATCTCCAAGCACCTCGCACTGCATCAAAGAGTGAAACTTCTGTATCTATTGGTCAAAAGACTCAAATACTAGGAAAATAAGAACATTTTGCTTTAGGAAGCTCAATAGCCATCTTCAATGAACTCATTATCACCCTAACAAACATCCTAATTTGAACATACTATTAACACACAAGATCTTGGAATTTACGTACATTATTTTGGTAAAGAGCATCATCAAGCAGCATAATACAGTCACTGCTTCCCCCTAAACATCTTTTCTTTTCTTGCAACAGCTTGCGAGAACAAGTGCAAGAGCAACTCCTTTGCACCTCAAACATTTTAGAGTACATTCTGATGGCTCAGTCCTTTGTGTGACTTATACAGTGGTGCCTCGGTTTAAGAACAGCCCTGTTTAAGAACTATTCATTTTGCGAACTCCGCAAAACTGAAAGTTGTGTCCCAGTTTGCGAACTTTACCTAGGTTTAAGAATGGTTTTGGTTTAAAAACGGACTTCCGGAACTCATTAAGTTCGTAAACTGAGGTACCACTGTAATAGCAATAGAATTACCGTATGTAGAAGAACAGTAGTGCCGGTGAAACACTGCAACTTATGGCATGGCCAACACTGCAATTTACTCAAGGTGCTGCACTGATGTAGCAATGTTATTGCAGCACCACAATCCGCTACTGCAGGGGTGCACAACCTGCAACCCTCCAAATGTTTCTGGAGTACAACTCCCATCAGCCCGGCCAGCACTGCAAGTGATCAGAGATGATAGGAGTTGTAGCTCAACAACATCTGGAGGGGCACAGGTTGTGTACCCTTGTGCTACTGCCGTATGAGGCATTTGGGCCACCACTGCATGGCCCATGATAGCCCAACACTATGCAACTTTTTAAAAAAATTAATTTAGGAGTCATCATTGGATTAGTATTGGAAAGCACCATAACAGAATAAATATTACTCCTATCTCTTGTAGAGGATCATTCTGTAATCATTTAAGCACCTTACAACATCAAGATCGCAAATTCTTGGTAGCGGTTAATCAAGAAACCACTTTTTAAAAAATGAACAGCACATTCTCCAAAATACACACAGAGGCACATGCTCTATAAGAATTCATTCATCCACTAGACTGCTCAGTAAAAGGTTTGTGATTAATTTAGATATAGTACAACTCTAACAGCAGTTTTACCTCTGAAATAGGCTCAGTATTTCAACCTATGATTTTTGCTGTATGATCATTCTCAAACATCTAAAAGTAAAGCAATTTTGTGAAATATTCACACATCATTTCATTTTAGGACTGAGAAAATAACAAGTTTGACTTATTACTAACACAACTTTATACAAGGAATTATTCCTTGATTGTTTTAAATACATTTATGATGCTCGTAATTGTAGTGACCCTTTTTAGGGATAGAGATGAGTGCCCTTTAGTAGTTCTTGAAAAGATCCTTTAGAAACAGGAAGGTCAGATACTGATGCCTAATTCACATTTTTTATCACAGAGGTGTAAATCTGAAGTAACTCTACCAAAATCGGAAGTGATCACTAGTGAAAGGGGAAGGATAATCAAATTCAATACTGTACTATTAAGTCACATTTCCCCTTTGTGAAAGAAAATAAAGCAAAATTCATCTTCTGAAGACACCCCACATTCTTGTATAAAGTTGGCTTTTTAAAATTAAATATAGAACTGAATGGAATTGTAAACCAGAACCAGATTTCCTGAAATATGCTGATTCTTCTGTGGCAATTATTTTGCTCTTGGAATGCAGACAATAGCCCACACCCAACCCTTCTGTAGCCTCTGTTTTGGAAGCAGGTTTCATGATTACACAAATTTTCCCATTCCAAAAAGGACCCACAACTAAATGCCAGTTAAGATTTTTAAAACGTTGTGCCACTGAAATCAGCACACAAGGGTATGCCGTAAGGCAACACAGAGTTTTTGATTAAAATCTCTGGGACTCTGCAAAAATCACTATCTCAGCTTTCACTATAGAAATTAATGTATGTTTCTGGTCCTCATGGTTTCACATCTTAGCTTAAAAATGCCATTTCACAGTAAAAAAAAAAGGTTATATGTTTTAAGGCATATTTTCCAAAGAATGGTTCTAAATATCTAACCAAATCAAAGGACAGTGGAAAGCTGTCAATTTCTTGTTTTTATCAATTCCAGAACAAGATTTTAGAAACTTCGTATCTGCCAGCTATGGCTCTACATCATTTCCTGTTTGTGCAAGATATGTGAATATAATGCTCATACCTGTAGCTGGAAATACACAAATCTGAGGGTCCTGGCCCAGTCAAGAACCAAAAGCTACATTTAAATAATAACTTGAATCTGGGGAGTGCCTCCAACCCATTCCCTTAATTTTCATCTTCATGCTGTTTCTTCCATGTAGCTAGACATCAAACACATGTGCTAGTGAACAACCATCACTGCAGAAGGTGCTCTACCCTCCTGCCTCTCCAACACCTACAAGAGCACAGCCCCCTTGGTCATTCACAACACGCCAGTGGCATAAAGATAAAGCTGTTGCTAGGTTGGTAGAGGGCTCTTTTAACAAGCCTGCACAAAACTCAGCAACTGACCTGGTTAGAGAGCTGGATTTTCCATGTGCTTTGGAATTCTCCCCCCCCCCCCAACATATACAGTGGAGCTCTGTGCTCTGGATTCAGAAATGATCACACAGTCTTGCTCTAAAGAAATATTGAGTTGCTGCTACAAACACTCTGCCACAAAGACTAAAGACCTGGAGGGTTTGGACAGTTTGTTGGCAATTACAGCCAAGTGCCTGACCTGAGCTTTGAAACCCAGCTAACCACACAGAGGCTCTTCTGTATGCCTCTCTGAAGCAAGATTGCCGCCTTTGTCTTGGCAATCCTTGGTACATTTACTTGGGAGTAAGTCTCCTTGGACACAGTGGGGCTTATTTCAGAGTAAACATGCACAGAACTACAGAGTTTCCAATACCAATTCTCCAGCCAAAGGGGGAGTATTCTGCAAATTGGGAGAACGTAAGCACCTTAAGAGATCAAGGGTTTGGCAAAGGCAAGAGCTCGGCTGTCCTCCTTGAACCGAGATCAATTCAAATAGCCACAGCTTTTTATTTATTTCTTTATTACAAATACTAGTGTGTTCATGTGCACTCCTTTAAAAGTTATGACCAGCACCAGGCTTGGGGAAGACACTGGGAGGCGAAATATATAGCAAATATATGAAAGGACTTTTGAGAGTTGGCACTCTACCTGCACAAAGTGCAAAAATGAGACAATGGCCTTGCTCCTAATGAGCAAAGAGTACATATCCTAAATCACTTAAAACCCCGTCCTATATCACAGCCTTTCCTCCTCTCCAGGTCAGTGGAGTAGGAATCCTAACTTACCAGCAAGTGTCAGTATTTAAAGCGGGTCTTGGTGGTAACTATTCCAGATAAAGTATTCCAGGGCACAAGAGTTGCGGTCTCTGGAGGGGGCTGCACGGGCGAGATTATTATACTTCGCTTTGATTCAAAACTAAGTAAGAGGAGGGGAGAGAAGGAAAGGAAAGGATTGATTTGGGAGTAACTGAACAAAGGCTAAAGAAGATCTCCTTTGAGGTGGGGAAGGCCTTCACTCCGGGGCAGGCAGGGGGGATAAAAAGGCGCCCGCCGCTTGCTTACCTCTGCCGTAGGCGAAGTGCAGGCGCAGCGCCTTGCCTTGGCGCACCAGGCTGATGTGCAGGTAGGTGAACCACACGGCGAAGGTGAGGAGCACCAGGAGCAGCAGCAGCTTGAACTGCTTCCGGATCTTCTTCACCGGGAACCACAGCATCCTCCAGGCAGCATTCCCGGGGGGGTCTGCCTGCCCCCGGGGGGTGAGCGAGGGGCGCCCGGGCCGCCCTGTCCGCGAAGGGAAAGCGGCAGCGGCGGCGGCGGCGGCGCAGGAGGTGTTGCCGGGCGGACGCGCGGAGTGCGCGCCTAACCCGGCCGCCGGCTCGGCCCCTCGCCGCTGCTCATTTCGCCCCCAGCGCCGCTCCCCTCACAGCTACGCCCGCTCCCCGCGGGGCGCCCGCCCCTCACCTGCAACTTCGGCGCCTCGCGGCTGGCGCGAAAACTTCGCTGTGGCGCTGAGGAGGACGCGGAGAGGCGCCCGGCGGAGATGCGGGGAGGAGGCTCCTAGCGCTCTCCCCGGAGCGGAGCCCAGCCGCCTCCCGCCAGGTCCCGGCGGCGAGGGACAAAGGCATCCAGGCAGCAGCGGGGAGCCATCGGGGAGGCTCCCGGCGACCGTGAGGGGAGGCGGCGGGTCAACGTCGCCCGGAGCCGCGGGGCTGGCGGGTCCCTCGCTCGCCGAGACCTCCCTCCTTCCCGCCGGGCTGCCGGGCTGCCCAGAATCCTCTCCCCAATGTGATAATCCGTGCACGGCAGGCAATGAATGGAGGAGGGGAGGGAGGAGCAGCAGCAGCAGCGCGGAGTTTCTCCCCCTCCGCCTCCTTCTCCCCGCCGCCTCCTGGCTCCGGGGCTGCTATTGCATTGCACTGGCTCCTCGGCCCGCGCTTTACATTGTCCTCCTCACGGCTGCAAAGCAGCGGCTGCTGCTGCTGCTATTACTACGCCCGTCCTGCGCGCGCGGCTTGCAGCGATGCTCTGGCGGCACCACCATCGCCTCTTCGCCACCGCCGCTGCTCTGGCTCGGCTCGAAGAGAGCAGCATCCCCACGCTGTGATGCAACCGAGGCTGAAACGGGGCAGCCAGACAGACAGGTCCGCCGGGCCCAATCGCAGCCCGGCACTTCTCCCTCCGTCCAATCCTCGGCTTCAGGAGGCGGCGGCGAAGGCGAGGCTGGGCTGTGAGCGGCGTTCATCTCCACGCCAACGTGCAAACATCCACCTGGGGAGCGGACCCGGTGGATGCGGCGGAGGGGGGGAGCAAAGAAGGAAGGCGAATGTCCTTTCACTTCCTGCAAACATCGTAGGCTTTGAGTGCAGCTTATGGAAGAGCACTGTGGCTTTTCAAGCTTCGGGAAGGAAGCTCTCCCGTTTTCTGCGTGTTGGGGCTCGTTCTGTTGCAAGGCGAATTGTAATGGTGTTGCGGCCTCCCCTTAGCGAGGGTTGGTACCTTCCCAACAGATGCAAGCCGATACTCTAATGAGAAGGCAGCAAAGGATGCTCCAAGATGGTTAAGGCTGGGGAGGGATGCTGGCGTAGTCTGAGGCGGCCACAGGTAGAAGTGCAAAACCGTGTGCACTTGTGGAAGGATGCAGGCGCTTTATTCTCTCGCATGTGCACAAACAGCAACAAATCCAAACGCCCTGCACCTTATATGTGAACATCTTTGCTTTTGTCTCAAAAGTTTATTATTTCTTGCTGGAAAAGACCAGAGATCACACACTGACAACCTTCCCCAATGCGGTGCCCTCCATCTGTTTTTGGTCTACAAACCCTATTGTCCCTGTGCATTGGCTCGAGGGCACCAAACACCTTGCCCTTCCAAAACACCTTGGAGAAGGCTGTCATAGAAGCGTGGAGTTGGAAGGCATCCCCAGGGGTCATCTAGTCCAACCCCCTGCAATGCAGGAATCTCATCCATGACAGATAGCCATCCAACCTATGCTTAAAAAACCTCCAATGTCTACTTGGCCAAACTAGCAATTCAAGATCGTTGCCTCATCTGCAAATCAGGAGTGGGGGCAGGTTCTCAAACTTTGCACTTCTGGGTTTGTTTGTTAAATTCAGTTTCCACAAGGTGTTCTTCTAGTGTTATGATGTTCAGATACTGAAGATGTGTCCAAATATGCTCTCTGTTGCAAGGTTTTCCTTTTATATTGCTCACAATATAACAACATTACAACTTAAAGCCTGTTTTCTTCGCCTCTGACAGTTCACAAAGACAGACAATAAGAGCTTGGGAGAACTCAAACATTTGCATGCTGTTTTGGGATATTTTACCAGGTTAGGTTATATCCTGTCTTTATTGAGCACCCCTCCTGATCTTCTTCTTAATCATTCATTAATCCCACAATCTTCAGTGCATTTCCCCATCACTTTCCTAACTTCTACATGTTGGTTTCTTCTCTCTTTTTAAAAAAAAGTGAATTTGTTGCACTAGACTAGAGTAACCACCCGATAGAAATGGTTCAGTTTGTTTTGAGTGACACAGCACAAAGAATGGCCCTCTATGCACTAGCTGGGAAGGGGAGAATGGAAACAGAAAAAGGAGTTAGGCAAAATCACTATAAATTGTTGTGGGGATTTGGAGGTTTAATCTGAAATCAAGATGGATTTGGGTTTGTTGGTGTCTCTTACAATATGGATGTTGTAGATTTTAGAAAGGTAAAATAATATTAGAATTAGAGCTGTCAGAGATGCACAAAGGAAACTGTTTGAATACTTAGGAACTTGGCAAAAACTGTGCAGATTTTTATATTATGGATGCATATTTTGTATTATTAATGCTATTGTGTAATACAGGTTTGTCATGGACTTTGGCTAGAACAATAAACTTATGAACTGAACTAGGGTAGCAGAGCCCTTTAATCCACTTCATGTGGGCAAACATAAAGTTTTGCACTTGGACTGGTCCTGCAAAATAGTGAGGCTAGAGGCTATGAGCATTAACAATCTTCTGTAAACTTGTTCCTGAATGAATATGCATTGTCTTAGTCTGTAGGGCACATTCTCTGCTTGCTCTTTTCAATAGCCAAGTTCCGTCTATAGCCTAAGCTTTTCTCCTGTCTACCTAATCCTGCTCTCTGGAATCTCATCAAACCTTCTAGGATATCCTACCAAGAAGCAATGCAAGCAGGATGTGGCTGGGCTAAGAAAACATGGTAGACAGAAATGTTGGAATCAGCTGACAATGGGCTTAAGAAAGGAAAGGTCACATCATTCATTACACTATAACAGGCACGTCCAACTCCCAAGAGACTGCAATCTACTCACAGTATAAAAAAAACTGGCAGTGATCTACCCAGAGTTGTTGAGCTTTTTTTTAGGGTGGAGATCACAAGAGGTCCCAGGATCAACCAGGATTGACCAGGAATTTCCTGCGATCGACCAGTAGGTCGCAATCGACCTGTTGGACATGCCTGCACTATAATAAACTGATGCAAAGATGAGAACGAAAACACTATGTTTAAATTAACAATAGCACTGTATTCCAGATATAGCACATGGCATGTTTTACCCTGCCTTTCAGTCTGATGGAATCATGATTGATGGGTTATCTAAAAGCATTTTAAAGTGCAGTTAAGTTTATCAAGATTACAGTATACAAATACTAGGAATTATGAGTGCTTTCCTTTCAAACCATCATTGTATTATCTCGATTAGGCCTGGGAAAGGTTCCTCCCAGAACTTGATAACATAGAAAGAAAAAGTAAAGAGAAAACTCCAATATCCACAGTAGGACAATATCTTATTTAAGACAATTAAAATGTTTAAAAATAGTGTGCAAGCTTTCGAGATCACTATTTTGTGACATTTCAGTAAGAAAATCCACAAACAAAAACCAGACATCAACCCAACATCATCTCTGGGACCAAACAGCAGAATTGTTGTCAAATACTAAGTAGCTTACATGTTAACTTTTGACTTTTGGTTCATGAAAAGCAGCTTGGCTGGATTTTTAGGCTATCTATTAGTTTGGGAGATGTTGGGCAGGATATGAATAGGAACAGGGCTGTTTCTTAGCCATTACACTTAGTCCAGAGAGACTGCACTGTGGACCAAAGGGGCCTCTGGGTTGACTCTCATCTCTTCCAAGATCTCAGGTGGCTAGAGAAAACCACTCAGGTTTTTGTAGGCAATATGAAAACAATAGGTAGCACTTAGTGTGTTCTGCTCCTTTTCTTATTTATATTTATTGCATTTATCGCTTACTTTTTCTTCAAGGAGTACAAGGTGACACACACATTTATTCCCCATTTTACCCTGGCAACAACCCTGTTAGGCTGAGTGCATGTGACTGGCCCCAAGTCACTTAGTAAGCTTCAGGACTGAGTCAGGATGGGAACCCTGCCCTCCCAGGTTCTAGTTCAGGGGTCAGCAACCTTTTTCAGCCGTGGGCTGGTCCACCGTCCCTCAGACCATGTGGTGGGCTGGACTATATGTTGGGGGGGGAATGAATTCCTATGCCCCACAAATAACCCCGAGATGCATTTTAAATAAAAGCACACATTCTACTCATGTAAAAACACACCGATTCCCAGACCGTCCGTGGGCCGGATTGAGAAGGCAATTGGGCCGCATCCGGCCCACGGGCCTTAGGTTGCCTACCCCTGTTCTAGTTGACCACTCTAACCACTATGCCACACTAGCTTGTTCACACTGAAAGACCTGGATGGGGTCTGGGATTTGCTTTGGAGAGGCTTCCCTTTAATACCATCTAAAAGGATATGCTTAGTATGAAACCATATTTACGGGATCTGTATGAGAGCAGGATCAGAAGCTGGTTGGGTAACAACAAGCAGAAAGTGGGAATAAACGGACAGCTCTCTGAATGGAGGAACGTAAAAAGCGCAAATGACAAGTAAAAATAACTTTGCATTATCTCTTGACCTCAAGGCATTTACATAATAGGCGTCCCCAATTAAAACAGTGCAAAATATTCTATTAAAAGCAAAGACTGTGACAATACAGTAAATGCTTGTTCTGTTGTAGATTATCATTTTTTGTGTTTTCTGTGAAGGGAGCTGTTAAACCAGGAGTTATTTTTAACAAGATAGGACCTCCCTGCTTCTCCCCAATTTTGCTACCTACACAAACATTTCATTATCAGATGTGTGATAATTGCCAAAAATTGCCAAAAATACTAAAGAGAGAACGTATCCTATATGATCAGGATATGGATAATGAACATTTACTCTTAAATCATCAGGTGACTTCTCAATAGCAGGATCCTGAGTGGCCTGAACTTGTTACTCGCTTTTGACTGGTGCAGATTGAAGGAGTGGGTGAGCTCAGCAGCTTGCATGGCTGAGCCTGGTTTTGGTAAAGAACACCAACATCATGTAGGAGGTGATGTTCATGAAGATATGATAGAAGAATAACACAGGGAGCTGCCTTATGCTGAACCAAACAGCTGGCCAGTCTAGCTGCAGCTCTCCAGGGTACATTCCTAGGCAGGAATAGAGCCTAGGGCTTTCTGTGTGTAAAGCAGGGGCTGTGCTAGCAAGCTGTGGCTCCTCCCTCAGCGCAAATTGATGATACCTCCCTTAACCTATTGTGCATGGACAGCGCCACACATCCTCAAATTGGGCCTTTACACAGCCTCTACCTATTCCTGCCATCAACCGACTGCCTCTTTTGCAGCACCCCAGTCACGACCTGCAGAGATCTCCTTTAACCCAAGAGAAAACTGGTCTCCCTGGTCAAGTGGAACGACTCTCAATTGGCATTCCTCTGCCTCTAGAAATCAATGTGCTGTATAGATGCTGAGAACTGTTTTCTGCTTCCTTTTTCGGTTGCTTTTCTTTTCTGTTGACATTTTAAGCTGCTTAATTGATCGAACAGTCATTTCTCTAGAGTCTGTTCCATGTATAAACTGCTTGGCCTTGATTCCGTGTGTGTGTGTGTGTGTGTGTGTGTGTGTGTGTGTGTGTCTGCCTGCCTCTCTGCCTTGCAGCCAAGAACAGCAAAAAGGATGCAGGTTTCTGTGACCTTTCCTTGACTCTGAGAGTGCTTGAAGCAAATGTATGGGATCTAACCTAGAATAGCACCATGGATTGCCATTACTTTGGACAGATTCAAATAGCCAAATCTAATATTTTTGTTTCCACTGTGAGGCGACCCCCCCCCCACCTCCCACAAGTCATTCTGCAGTAGATAGCTGCATGTGTTTCTAAGTGGTTTGGGGGAGCAGGTG